AGTTACTACAGGGGAGGTTTTCAGAGAAGGTTACAGCTGAACTGGAGAAAAGCATTCCAGACAGAGAATAGCCCAGTATGTGAAGGTTCACATTTTGCAGGAAGGACAAGTCATTCAGTGGTAGGTGAAAAGAAGGAGAGAAGACTAGAAATGTAGGCTTGAGTCAGACTGTGAAAAGTTTAGACTTGCTCCAATTAAAATGTGAAACAAGCAAAGATATAAGAATGCTTTAAGTTTTAGTGTGTTTGCTAGTTTGCTTTTAATATGTAATTTTTAAAACAAAAATTAACACAAGCACTAACAGAACTAGACACATCTACCTTAAGTGTGACCAATGGTAAATCACTTATCATATACACTTTGGATTAGTAAACAGACTCTGCAGGAAAATTAGATATGAGGACAGTATTTTGTACAAGTTCATTAGGTCAGATTGGTTTATGTTATTTAAATCCTCTGTGTCCTTACTGATATTTTTGTCTTCATGATCTAACAATTACTGAGAAAGGCATGTTTAAAATCTCCTACTGTATTTATGGATTTGCCTATTTCTTAATATCAGATATTATATTTCTTCAGTTCTGTACCATCCATTTGATTCTTTTTTATTTTATATAGATTCCAATTTCCTGGTGTCATAAGAATTAAAACATTTAATGACACAGAAAATGCTGCACAAGAATAAGCTTTTCAGCCCATTTTTGGACCAAATCTAACTAATCTTTTATGCTGTTCAAAACAGTTTGGTAATTATTTTCCCCAGGCTCTTTCCTTTCTGTCAGCAATCTACTTAAAGCCAAACATACCTCAGTATTTAAGAGCACATCAGTGCTACTCAGTCTGACCTCCACTTTATGCAGAGAATGGCTGCCCACCATGATCAAAGGAGTTTAAAGTCGCACCAAAAAACCTGAATTAGTTACAGATATGGTATCTGGTCACATTTCATAGCTCTCTTCTCTTTCTAGGTGGTTACTTGCCCTTTTAAAAATTTCTGTAAGTTGAAAGAGGGCAATTCCTAAAAGTTGACTGAAACTATAATTCAGTTTCATTAGGTTTGCTTTGGAATAAACATATTAAACCATCAGATGATTTTTATAATGTCTTCAAAACCATGAAGAAAGAAAATAATAAAGAATGGCAAACAAAAGGCATACAAATCAGCACATTGTGGTTAAAAAAAAAAAATAGAAGAAAGCCTGCCCCGTGAATAAGTTCAGCTTAGGCTCTCACAATAACAGGCTTTAGCAGAGGAGCACGACTGCTCACAGGCCTTATTAGGATAGTCATTCCCTAGATGGATCCTGAGGTTTGAGAGACATGTTGAGAGAAGCAAGGCCACCCACGTAGGCAGCTAGATATGCTGAATCAACCCTGGCAATGAAGGTGAAGGTGGTGGGGACAAAATTACCTCACATCCCCCACTACTAATACACTATCTGATCCCCGAGAGCAGGAATTGTTTCTGTTTTGCTCACACTATACCCCATCACTTAATATAGTGTATGGGATATGGCAGGTGCTCAGTAAATATTTGCTAGGTTAATAAATGATTCCACACCAGTTATTTCTTCTCTAAGGCCTTGATTTCCTATAAAGCAAAAGGGTTGGACTAGATCAATATATTCATTTTCAGCTCTAAACTTCTTTGAGTTAGAATTTTTAAATACATCACATAAATGTCAGTCAAGTTATTCCAGGACATCGGGGTCTGAATATATGCCTAGTCACAAGGTTTCACAACATCTTATCGCAGTCCAGTATAAGACAAACAATGAATTTACCCTGTTGAAACTACTGAAACTTAAAACTTATGTTTCATGGGTGCACATATATGTTGAAACTTATGAAATTGTACACTTTAAATGTGTCCAGTTTATTGTATATCCATTATACCTTGATAAAGCTATTAAAACACACACACAAAAGAAACTACCGAAACTGCTCAATATTGCTAAGGCAGTAAGAGATATAAGCTACCTATTGTAGAAATAAAATATGCCTGACCATCCAGCTAAAACAGGAGAGAAGTAGATGCTCATAAAAACAATAATAATGGCAACAGCAAAATTTAGCTCCTTTAGATGTCTGAAGACTCAGAAAAACCCGTTGCCTGGCTTAACCAAATAATCTTACTATGAAGGAAGCACACTTACTTTTAAAATAGTATAACATATATTTACCTTCCTTAATTATCTGTCAATTAGAAACTACTTTCTAACCTTTTATAACTTTCTCCAAAAATGAAAATTTAATTATTTTTTAGTCCATTATTTTAAATAGTATCTCAAATAATGAAGCAACTTGACTACATCACAAAACCACTAGTTCATGAAATCAGGTTTTATTAAATATACTTGCTAAAAGGAATTCCCTGGTGATCCAGTGGCTAAAACTCTGTGCTTTCACTGCGGACGGCGTAAGTTCAATCCCTGGTCTGGGAACTAAGATCCCACAAAAAAAAAAAAAAAAAAAAAGAAAGAAAAAAAATAGAAATATATTTGCTAAAGATTGAAATGAGATTAAACATTAAAGTACGTCCTTTATCTTTAAAAATTTTTAATGGTTTTCAAACCACCTCTAATTGTTCCGGGCAGAAAGTTTGGCTTCTAAATATTTCAAAGCCCTTTCTAAATAGTTCAAATCACTAGTTATATATAAGAAACACTGGTAGAAACTATACGGGAATAAGAAGACCCTAGAAAGTATCAAGTCCTAAAACTTAGCCCCCAATTTGTGTACACTTGGCTTGACATAAAAAGTCAAAGAGTTATTCAAATATTTATATGAAGGCACATCAAGAGAAACGTCGTAACATACTTTATAATGTGACTAACTGCCAACAACAAGGTAAGGGGAAATCTAAGGCATTCACCGTGGGCAGATTCTAAGAAGAGAAAAAAGTTTATACTGATGACTTTTCCATAGATTGACTTGTTCCCTCTGATTACTCTTAATTAAATTGTCTAAGCCTGGGCATAAAAATGAAAAAGTCATTATTCAAAGGATACCAAAAGTTTAAAAAGAACAACAGCTGTTTTTATAACATTTAAAAGAAAAGGTAAAAAATTCAAGCCTACTTTAACATAAACATAGCATTCCATGAGAAATTGCTGGTGGATATGTAAAGTAGTACAGCCACTGTGTAAAAAGCTAAACACAGAATTACCATATGACCCAGCAATTCCACTCCTGAGTATTTGAAAAGATTTGAAAACAAGGACTCAAGTAGATACTTGTAGATACCAACATTCATAGCAGCATTATTCATAGTAGTCAAAAGGTGGAAACAACGGATGACTGGATAAATGAAACGTAGTATATACATACAATGGAATACTTCTCAGCCATAAAAAGAAATGAAGTTCTGATACTGCTGCAAAATGGATGAACCCTGAAAACGTTATGCTAAGTGAAATGAGCCAGATGTAGAAGGACAAGTATATTAATGCTAGTTATATGAAATATCTAGAATAGGCAAATTCACAGAGATAAAAAGGAGATTAGAAGTTACCAGTGGCTGGGGGTGGGGGTGGGGGCGGTGGGAAATGAGTGGGGAATAGGGAGTTTTTGCTTAATGGTTACAGAATTTCTGTCTTGTATTTTTAAAGTTTTGTAAGTAGACGGGAGTGATACAGACGTACAACATTGTGAATATAATTAATACCACTTAATTCTACATTTATAAATGGTTAAGGGCTTCCCTGGTGGTGCAGTGGTTGAGAGTCCGCCTGCCGATGCAGGGGACGCGGGTTTGTGCCCTGGTCCAGGAAGATCCCACATGCCGCGGAGCGGCTGGGCCCGTGAGCCATGGCCGCTGAGCCTGCACGTCCGGAGCCTGTGCTCCGCAACGGGAGAGGCCACAACAGTGAGAGGCCCGTGTACCGCAAAAAAAAAAAAAAAAAAAGAAAGAAAAAGGTTAAAATGTCAAATTTTATGATATATTTTTTTTCAACCACAATTTTTAAAAAACAGCATTCCACAATCATCCCACATATTAAAATACAAAGGGAAAATGTGTCTTTATGTAAAATGGAGAGAAGTGGTGGTCATCACATCAACCAAGCTGCCCAACTTGGCTACTTGCAGCCTCACTTTATGTGCCTCCTGATGTGATGGATATAATGATCTTGCTGGAAATTTTGACCTGATAATCTTATAAGGAAGAAAGCAGCAAATCTAGAATATGGGACGTTCTGTAGGACAACTGGCCTGGACACTTCAGAAGTTTCACCATCACTGAGAAAAGAGACTGTTGATATGACTGTTCTAGATGGGGGAAACTAAAACAACACAAGAGCCAAATGCAATGCTGGGAGCTTGACTGCATCTGATCTGGAAGAAAAGGAGCTATAAGAGGTATTTGGGGGATAACAGAGGAATTTTGAGTTATGAACAGCATGTGCCATGATAGTACTGAATTAGTGTTGATTTCTCAGTTATAATAATGGTACATGGGTTATACAAGAGAATGTCCTTGTACTTAGAAAACACATACTTGGGAGGTATTTACAGGTGAAGTGTCATAAAATCTGCAACCTACTTTTGGATCATTTGGCAAAAAAGTGTGTGTGTGTGTGTGTGTGTGTGTGTGCGTGCGTGTGCGTGCGTGCGCACGCGTGCATACACATGAGAGGGGTTAGGAGGGAGAACATTTGGGGTAAGATAACAGTTGGTGAATTTAAATGAAGGATATACAGGTGTTCATGTAGTTTTCTTTCAATTTTACTGTGGGGTTGAAATTTTCAAAATTAAAAAAAAAAAAGATTAAAAAAATCAGAATTCAGACTTCCCCAGTGGTCCAGTGGTTAAGACTCTGCATTTCTAATGCAGGGGCACAGGTTTGATCCCTGGTCAGGGAACTAAGATCCCACATGCTGTGCAGCACAGCCAAAAAAAGAAAATCAGAATTCCTCGAAATTTCCTCTTTCCACCAGAGTATACTCAGGAATGCTAAATGAACACGGGGGGAAATATAGCATATTCAGGGCTTTACATACCTTCCACATCATACCAATGCGCACCATTTGTGATTCCATCTTTGAAAGTCTCATCTTCATCTCCAGGACAATGAGGGGCACCAGTTTTCATTATGGGGTGGTTTGAAGCATAGGCTTTTGCCAAGTATTTAAACACTTCATCATCTGAGGTTTTGCTATAGATTCCAGTAGCCTTATGTTCTGGAGAATCATCAAAAGGATAGCTTGCTACCACAGAGCCACCATGCAGATTTCCAGAAAGCACAAACCTTTGAAAACATAACCAAATCACATATCACTTTTTAAAGGGAACAGAAAACATGTATTTTAAAATTCTACATCTTTCATAAATGAACTTAGATATTCCTCTTGACACCTAGAAGACAACTCTATCAGCTGTTAAAACAGACTAACAATAATAAAAAAAAAAGAAAATGGAAAGAAAGTATTATTAATTCAATAAATTTCAAACAGTTTTTACAGTCCAAGTTAACTTCAAATAACTTTAAATAATTTCCCCATCACTGAAAAAAACAGCTGAATAACAGTGTAAATTAATGTTTCAGGAGACGTCTTATTCAGGGAACTGTAAAATCATGTATTAAGTTGAACAATATGAACTTGCCACTATTCAACCATGTCTTGACCTACAAAAATGACAATTTCATAGAGTTCAATCTAATTTTTGTACTTCATATTGTGTTAATTTCATAGAAAGCATGGCTGGCATAAATAAATATTTGTTGAATATATGAGTTAGGTTAATAAGTTTCATGCTTTTTATATTACTTTCCAGAGAGAATTTTTAAGATAGGGAGTCTAATTTAAAACAGGATGTGCTTTGCCTCATTCCATTTTCACAGTACACTAAATTCACATTTTCAGTAGAGAAGCCATAGTTGAGAAAATTCAGGGTGGGGAAAGACCTGAGCTGCTTTCAGATAAAAACAATACAGCACATTGCATCACTGTAAAAGCAGCTCTCTTTCTAGGTGTAAGGTTCCTGGTTGGACCATTAAAAAATAAACTGACATGGAGACAAGGCTGCTTCTATAAAAGAAACATTTTAAACTTTCTGCATTTTTATTGATACTTTTAAGCGAACCCATTTACAATTTGGTCAAATTTATAGATATAGAAATACTGAAGAATGCCTTTTATGGTAAAAGGTAAAGGCAAAAACATGCCGAAGTCCTATTTATACATTTTTCACTCAGGTAACAGTTCAAACGATTACTATGAGTGGAGATTAAACACTTTTCTCTTTGCACTCAAAATTAGATTTTTTGCTTCTGCCTTTTTGTGACTGAAGTAAACAGACCTACAGTAATTCTAAAGGGGGTTGATTTATAACATTTCTTTCTATATGTTTGAAAGAAAATTAAGTCTACGATATGTTTAATTTGAAAGGTTAAGTATGATCAGTACCTCCCAGAGGAGGTCAAACAATGAAAATTACTTGTTACACAGAATCTATTCATCAGAAGACAGAATTTAGCTGATAAAGACAGTGATTAAACACCAGAATAGACTATGAAAGAAGACTAGTTTTATATAATTAAAATTAGCACAGTTCTAGATACCAGAGGGGAATGCCATTTGGTATAGTGGCAATAGCACAGGCTTTAAAACCAGGCAAATATGGGTAAGAACATTTGGTTTTGCAGACATGTCACTCACCAGTAACATGATCAGGAGAAGTTGCTGCCTCTAAATCCACTGAACCCCAGTTTCTCTCTCATCTGTAAAATGGGGATTAATGCTACCTGCCTCCCAGGGTTGTTACAAGAATTAAATAAGATAATACATGTACAATTATCTTCCAGCACAATGACTGCTTTATAGCCCCTGCTCAACAAATGCTCATTCCTTTGGAGACCTCTAGCATCCTGCTTAGGGAATCACTGCTTACAGACTATAATTCTACTCACCAGTTCCAATGCTACAATGTTACAGAAACAAAAACTAAGCATCTATTCTAACTCCAATTTACCCATCCCTCCTCCATAGCAAGTTATTAACAATTGACTTTTTGGTTTCTATGCCTAAAATAATTTAAGTACTTCCCCACCACCACCCCACACTGACTTTGGGAAAGTTACAAGAAGGCTGGCCCAGGTTCAGACAATCAACTGAGCAACAAATTTTCTTGAGTGTCAACTATAAGCCAAATGTTCTGTAGGCACTAAGGAATATATTAGTGAAGAAGCAAATACAAAAATGCCCTCATGGCATTCATAGTCTAGTGGGAAAAAAATAAAAAGGGTAACTGAATATTTTAAATAAGTGAAGCATATTACTTTATATGTGTTCAATTAAAATTTTAAATTCCAAGATTCTCTATTAAATGCTGTTTTTCACTTCGACATTTCTTCTAACACTTCTCAGAAATACTGTTAAAATGGCCTAACCAAATACTTTTAGAACAATGAAATATTTGCAATCTACTTGAGTGATAAAATTAAATTATTAGATTTTCCTTACTCTACTCACATAGTTTTAAAAGCACCAATGCCACTCTGGTAAGGGCGATTTCAAAAGAAAGTGATATCTATTATAGTGGTTGTAAGATTATTTCTTTTAGTCTTTGTCAAACCAACTTTGTATATCGATCCAATTTTATCTGAAGGGTATTTTATGGTTTCCAATCAAATCAATTCTCTTAAGTGTTTCTCACACTTGACTTCAATATTATATATCATTCCTTGCGTAAGATTTAAAGTAACTGGTAAATATATCATAAAAATTATAAACAAGAGTCTGTAGATATTAAAAAGTCAATCTCCAAGTTAACTTTATTATGGTCCCCAGATAACCCTGTAAATAACTTTAAAAAATTAAGAAAACTTGATGTCTGATAAACTAAATTCTAAAGGTTTCAGGAAATTGTAGCTATACACCTACCCCAACAATATGATAATGCTTTTCACAAACATACCCCAAAAATCATTTATATGCTAATCTCCTATTAAAGTCTAAGCAGGTATATTTAATTAAAGAACCGTGCCAAAAATATGAGGGTGAAGTAAACTATAAAATCTTTATTTTAATGATGGAGTTAAAATCTTGTATATTTTCTTGAGCAGATGAGTCAATTATCAGTAGTACAAAATCATGGATTGGATGAAGTATAAAGTGAAACAAAGAAAATAAACTCCACTTTCCCAAGCAGGAGGAAATGAGTCTTAAATTGTTACGCATCCAAAACAACAACAAAAATCTATTTCTAATACAGCTGGGTGAATAGGATATCAAGAAATTATTCAAATGATTTATTTCATGAAATACATTGAAAAAGGTAATTTCTCTGTACAGACGGATGTCTGTGGTTTTAGAATTTCCTATCCATAAAGCTGTCTCTATATATTTAGGAATCAATCTCAAATCGTGTATATGCTTGTTTTTTTTACTTTATTCACATATCAATGTCCCTTGTTACTGATTAATCATTAAATAATATGCATCTTGAGTTATTTATGATTGAGGATGGAAGGATGTACTTTTCACCCTATATACTCACCTACTTTCCCTTCTGATTAGAGTTACATTTGAAAAGAGGGTGGATATGATTAGGGTAGTCCATAGCCACAAAATAGAGCCACTTTCTTTGTAATACCAACTGACACAGATGAGCTTTTAAAATCTTCACAAGCTCCTATCATTGAACTAGTCAGCCCAGACCATAACTTTAATCATTAAATACTGGTGATATGAAAGAGTTATCCAAAGAGCACATTTTTGGTCCTAGATTTAAAATTTAAAGCTTTCAGTATAGTCTCAAGGTGACTTGCACCAAGACAAAGCTCATTTTTATTTCTGGTCACAGCAGAAGTAATACTGAATACAAAAATCTACTCACAGAATTTACATCGCTGCAAAGGTCATGATGGGGCTTTTTAAACGTGTCCTTTTAGCAATGCAAACAGTGAATTTGATATATCATCTCAGAAAAGCCCTGGCCATCACAGCTTCTGACAATAAGCTGTATGTTAAAGTCACACTTCTTATGTAAATGTTCAGAGGTCCTGACACCATTATCTTTATTTTTAAATTTTATTTAAATTTATTTATTTATTTATTTATTTATTTATTTATTTTTGGCTGCGTTGGGTCTTCATTGTTACACTTGGGCTTTCTCTAGTTGCGGCGAGCTGGGACTACTCTTCGTTGCAGTGCACGGGCTTCTCATTGCAGTGGCTTCTCTTGTGGCGGAGCCCTGGCTCTAGGCACGTGTGCTTCAGAAGTTGTGGCACGCAGGCTCAGGAGTCGTGGCTTGTGGGCTTAGTTGCTTTGCGACATCTGGGACTTCCCGGACCAGGGCTCCAACCTGTGTCCCCTGCATTTGCAGGCAGATTCTTAACCACTGCGCCATCAGGGAAGCCCCGACACCACTATCTTTAAAGGAAAAATCTTCCCAGAAAGCATGCGAAATTAATACCTACAAGGGATCTCAGAAGTAGAGTGAAAGGTAGGAGATTAAAAAGAATCTAGAATTGTCATAATGGCCATGAATTTTTCAAGGTCTGTTATATATGCTGAACCTTGTAGAAGAGATGATTCCAAGTCCTACAGGGAAACTTCTTTGTTCATTATTGCTTGTATCTTATCTGTCACTCAGGTATCTTCTTCAAATCAGGATGGAAAGATTAATTGCTTCACAAGCCTTATGAAGACACAAAAATGGGGATATGCTGGCAAAGCCGATGCCTGACAAAAGGAAGAGGTGCATGGTCACTTCAGATATTATTCCATCTGGAATAAGTTCCTTCTTCCTTTATTCCTCTCTTCCACCTTTTTGCTGAAAATCCTACCCATCTCTCAGGACTCAGTTCAAGTTCTACCTTCTCCACAGAGATGACCCATATTATTGTAGCCCACACACATTTTGCCAGTAGGAACAATTCCTGTAAGGTTTAACTGGGTACATAAACACACCATATATATATTTATAATATTTTCTTGTTATACACCAATTTCTTCAGGTCCTCATGCTTCCTTTAAGTTTTTAAATCTCACAGAGCGGTTACTAACACTTAAGGTGTCTATTAAGTGTGACAATTAGCCATTTGGCCCTGGCCCACTAATAACGTGCACAAGTGGCAGCAGAAACCCTTCAGAGTCTGAAATGAAGCTGCTTACAGATGAAGGTTCCAGACCTGTACAAGTTCTCCAGCCAGCCATACCTATATGCTCCACAGCTGAGTCAGAGGTAGACTGGAAGTGAATCAGTTTCTGTTAAATAACCAAGAAGACGACCCCAGGAGTGTCATCTGTCATATCTAGGCTACAGACTCCCTCCATGCCTGTTAAAGAGCACTGACTAAATGCGTGAGTTGAAGTCCCAGCTACAGAACAGGGATGTTAATGCTGTCTGTCTCATCAGGTTGTGGCCAACATAAACTGAGATCATGCAGTCCACGGAAAGGGCTTAGCACAGTGCCTGTAGTAATAAGATAATCGCAGTCTTGTCAGTTTATGTATAAAATAAGTGAGCTGACCTAGGTCATCCTTAATGTCTCTTCTGTCGCTCATATTCTACGATCCTGTGAGAACAGGGGCCAGAATGCTAGAAGAGTCTCCCCTCCAGCCAAACAGCGCTCTCTGCATCCTTTGAACAAATGACAGCCTCTAGGCAGCGCTTCTCGGACAATTAGCCGGACAGGAGGCTAAGCGGCCTGGGCCCTGTCCCCGTTACGGGGTGTCGCTCTCCGCCCTCACTACCCCCGTCGCTTAGGCCTGAGAGCACCGTTTGAGCGCTTACTGAGTGCCAGACCCAGCCTCTGCTCTGGAGGCTCACTTGGATGGGGAGGGGGCGGG